TCCTTATGAAAGGCGAAACCTGTCGAAGAGTTTTTAGCATCTTTGAGAGTAGCTTCTTCCAGTAAAGTATACTACAATATCTCGAATATCGCGGTTCCAAATGAAACTCGGGGGCGGCGTTTGTGCAGTACATTCAGCTGAATAATATCATAGACTGAGAACCCAACTGGGATTCAGTTAAAACCAGATTGGTGTTTGGCAAAAACCCACATGGTTTTGTCATATGAATACACTTGATATTGATGTAGGGTGCAACATGCTAAAGATGTACTTCTCATGTTACACCCCTAGAAACAAGTCTGTAGCCGTTTTGAAGCAAGTTTCAGGCCTTGACCTCCTTGATGCTTTGATTTGCTACCAAGGTATGACAAAAAATAAACTTTCAATGCGCTTTATAATGCAGTCAGTCGAAGAGTTGCACACCATCATACTACCTAGGTCAACACACACCCCGGCAGACAGCTTCGTATGTGTAGAGAAAAACTTGGATTCAAGGGCAAACCAATTATCATCTGTTACTTGTGTGCAAAAGCCTGTTGAATTGAATCATCCAACTTTGTTCGATCCCTTGAAATGAAGCTAACTATTCCTTTTACAGGTTTACGGCTAGACTCTGTATGTATATAAAAGGACGTTTAACATATAGAAGGAGTTGCCTTGCTTCCGGTCAAAAGTGACCGAAAGATCATTGGGTGACGGTAGAATTACTAGTAGGAGAGAATAGTACGGTAGAGTGTCCAACAATGCTGAGTTTGTTGCTACAGGTTTCCACTTTCAGGCGACCCTAAATTAATTGACTTTGGTCGTGAGATGCACGCACGGTGGACGATGAAGACCGGGCTTATTTGTTCATCTCCCATATTCGTCTTTGTGGGGTGCACACAAATTTTGCAGCCACTTTGGTCACATCACTGTTCAGTTAATCGTGGCCAAGTGGTTAATTGTTCAAGCTACTAGCCGCTAGGTCGGGGCTTCCAAACCGAAAGGAGTTTCGTGAGATACTGGTGATTCCCAGTAAGGGTGCAGCATTCCAGCATCGATTCGCTTCATTGACGTCAAAATCTCAATCGAAAATTTCCTCACACCACTAAGTACTCAGGGAATATCTGACTCGCACGTTAATCATTGGTACGTCATAGCAATCGAGATTGGTTGCATGTCCAACTGTACTGCAACACATTAGAGTGTACTGAAAACAAGCATCTATTTGACTAAGATACCAAACGTTGCGTAGCTTGCAACCTGTAAGTCTAAGCTCCTCGTGCAAATATCACAACCTGGTTACTCCATTTTTGAGGCAGATCTTGTGGCATACGAACCGTGAATCTATTTTGCCTGAAGGTGACATTATTTGAGATGGCTCGCTGGTTAAGGCGCGAAATTACTGACTGAGAGGTCTGTTGTTCGAACCTAACTTTTGCATCTCGCCTGTTTCCGTCTAGCTTTGTACAACCAGGCAGTATCTCAGCCCTTGTGCTTCATTTGGATGGCATGACAGCTAGGCACCGCAAGGGTGTATGTAGGGTGTGCTAAAGATGTACTTCTCATGTTACACCCCTAGAAACAAGTCTGTAGCCGTTTTGAAGCAAGTTTCAGGCCTTGACCTCACCTCCGCTTTGATTTGCTACCAAGGTATGACAAAAAATAAACTTTCAATGCGCTTTATAATGCAGTCAGTCGAAGAGTTGCACACCATCATACTACCTAGGTCAACACACACCCCGGCAGACAGCTTCGTATGTGTAGAGAAAAACTTGGATTCAAGGGCAAACCAATTATCATCTGTTACTTGTGTGCAAAAGCCTGTTGAATTGAATCATCCAACTTTGTTCGATCCCTTGAAATGAAGCTAACTATTCCTTTTACAGGTTTACGGCTAGACTCTGTATGTATATAAAAGGACGTTTAACATATAGAAGGAGTTGCCTTGCTTCCGGTCAAAAGTGACCGAAAGATCATTGGGTGACGGTAGAATTACTAGTAGGAGAGAATAGTACGGTAGAGTGTCCAACAATGCTGAGTTTGTTGCTACAGGTTTCCACTTTCAGGCGACCCTAAATTAATTGACTTTGGTCGTGAGATGCACGCACGGTGGACGATGAAGACCGGGCTTATTTGTTCATCTCCCATATTCGTCTTTGTGGGGTGCACACAAATTTTGCAGCCACTTTGGTCACATCACTGTTCAGTTAATCGTGGCCAAGTGGTTAATTGTTCAAGCTACTAGCCGCTAGGTCGGGGCTTCCAAACCGAAAGGAGTTTCGTGAGATACTGGTGATTCCCAGTAAGGGTGCAGCATTCCAGCATCGATTCGCTTCATTGACGTCAAAATCTCAATCGAAAATTTCCTCACACCACTAAGTACTCAGGGAATATCTGACTCGCACGTTAATCATTGGTACGTCATAGCAATCGAGATTGGTTGCATGTCCAACTGTACTGCAACACATTAGAGTGTACTGAAAACAAGCATCTATTTGACTAAGATACCAAACGTTGCGTAGCTTGCAACCTGTAAGTCTAAGCTCCTCGTGCAAATATAACAACCTGGTTACTCCATTTTTGAGGCAGATCTTGTGGCATACGAACCGTGAATCTATTTTGCCTGAAGGTGACATTATTTGAGATGGCTCGCTGGTTAAGGCGCGAAATTACTGACTGAGAGGTCTGTTGTTCGAACCTAACTTTTGCATCTCGCCTGTTTCCGTCTAGCTTTGTACAACCAGGCAGTATCTCAGCCCTTGTGCTTCATTTGGATGGCATGACAGCTAGGCACCGCAAGGGTGTTACACACGAATGAATTAATTTGACATTGTGTTGTTTAGAACCAACCAATAAATAATACTAATACTAATGCTACTACTAATAATAATAATAGCGATAATAATGGCATTATATCACACCACAACCGCGTACAGTGCGACTACATCTTTTCCGCAGGTCACACCGGGACGGCTCCCCCAAATCCTACCTCCAACTATGCAGCAATGCTTTTGCCGTTGTTACAATCAGCCTAGTACCTTTGGTAGTCTGAGATTCCAAATGAAACTCGGGGGCGGCGTTTGTGCAGTACATTCAGCTGAATAATATCATAGACTGAGAACCCAACTGGGATTCAGTTAAAACCAGATTGGTGTTTGGCAAAAACCCACATGGTTTTGTCATATGAATACACTTGATATTGATGTAGGGTGCAACATGCTAAAGATGTACTTCTCATGTTACACCCCTAGAAACAAGTCTGTAGCCGTTTTGAAGCAAGTTTCAGGCCTTGACCTCCTTGATGCTTTGATTTGCTACCAAGGTATGACAAAAAATAAACTTTCAATGCGCTTTATAATGCAGTCAGTCGAAGAGTTGCACACCATCATACTACCTAGGTCAACACACACCCCGGCAGACAGCTTTGTATGTGTAGAGAAAAACTTGGATTCAAGGGCAAACCAATTATCATCTGTTACTTGTGTGCAAAAGCCTGTTGAATTGAATCATCCAACTTTGTTCGATCCCTTGAAATGAAGCTAACTATTCCTTTTACAGGTTTACGGCTAGACTCTGTATGTATATAAAAGGACGTTTAACATATAGAAGGAGTTGCCTTGCTTCCGGTCAAAAGTGACCGAAAGATCATTGGGTGACGGTAGAATTACTAGTAGGAGAGAATAGTACGGTAGAGTGTCCAACAATGCTGAGTTTGTTGCTACAGGTTTCCACTTTCAGGCGACCCTAAATTAATTGACTTTGGTCGTGAGATGCACGCACGGTGGACGATGAAGACCGGGCTTATTTGTTCATCTCCCATATTCGTCTTTGTGGGGTGCACACAAATTTTGCAGCCACTTTGGTCACATCACTGTTCAGTTAATCGTGGCCAAGTGGTTAATTGTTCAAGCTACTAGCCGCTAGGTCGGGGCTTCCAAACCGAAAGGAGTTTCGTGAGATACTGGTGATTCCCAGTAAGGGTGCAGCATTCCAGCATCGATTCGCTTCATTGACGTCAAAATCTCAATCGAAAATTTCCTCACACCACTAAGTACTCAGGGAATATCTGACTCGCACGTTAATCATTGGTACGTCATAGCAATCGAGATTGGTTGCATGTCCAACTGTACTGCAACACATTAGAGTGTACTGAAAACAAGCATCTATTTGACTAAGATACTAAAGGTTGCGTAGCTTGCAACCTGTAAGTCTAAGCTCCTCGTGCAAATATCACAACCTGGTTACTCCATTTTTGAGGCAGATCTTGTGGCATACGAACCGTGAATCTATTTTGCCTGAAGGTGACATTATTTGAGATGGCTCGCTGGTTAAGGCGCGAAATTACTGACTGAGAGGTCTGTTGTTCGAACCTAACTTTTGCATCTCGCCTGTTTCCGTCTAGCTTTGGACAACCAGGCAGTATCTCAGCCCTTGTGCTTCATTTGGATGGCATGACAGCTAGGCACCGCAAGGGTGTTACACACGAATGAATTAATTTGACATTGTGTTGTTTAGAACCAACCAATAAATAATACTAATACTAATGCTACTACTAATAATAATAATAGCGATAATAATGGCATTATATCACACCACAACCGCGTACAGTGCGACCACATCTTTTCCGTAGGTCACACCGGGACGGCTCCCCCAAATCCTACCTCCAACTATGCAGCAATGCTTTTGCCGTTGTTACAATCAGCCTAGTACCTTTGGTAGTCTGAGAAAGAGTTGCGGTCACTGATGTGTTTACACCACAGCATCCTCCAAAAGCCTCGGTTCTACAGAAAAATGCATGCGCTGATCTCCAGACTGAACGGATGTGACTGTGCCCGATCGATTGCAGTCTCATCCATTGCACTTTTGACTCATTTTTCACGCGCAAAAACCTAGCTACATTCCGCAGACACATCCAAACTGCGAAAAGCTGTGGTATTATTTAGTCTGTTTGTCCCTCTGTCTATTCAAAAAACCTCCTCTTGTTTGAGGCGAAAGTTGACCAATACTGCGGCCATTATGCCAACAGACGAAAATCCCCAGTGTGTCTGGTGCTCCCGTAAAGGCGCATCGCTGCATTCTACACCATGTACCCCCACTCGCTTCCCTGAGGGACTGTTTACGACTGGTATCATCACCAGTTGTTGTAAAGGGCTTTATTGTGCTTAGTTTTCTACCAATGGGAATCTTTATTGTGTATTCAGGCACCCGTCAGCTGTCTGGTGTTATTCAGTTCTCAGATCTCCTCCCGTGGTACTCTGAATCTCATAGTCAGACTTCGCGTGCGTTGGCCCGTTGTCCGTATTCGGTGTTGGCTAGTTAGCAAGCTTGGACGTGTGGCGATCGCAAAGCCGGAGCCTAGATCACTTGGCGCCCGTTTGTGTGGCACACCAACATATGTACGCACATGTTTATCCTAATCAGTAAAGCCACACCGGGCACATATGCACAGGTACATGCAGACATCCGTCTACACACACACACACGGCTTCTATTTGATCCGGTAAGATGCTCGGATCCTGTATTTGACGCGCGGGCGGTATCTTGGGCTAACGACAGAATCAGTTGACCCAGTCTGTCGCAACCAGCGATACGATCAATTCGATAGCGAGCATGCGAACACACACATGTTCTCTGCATTCAAAGCCTCGATCTGGCGCCACAATCGTTTTCATAGTACGTGTGTGTTTGTTTGCCTTCAGTGGCATAAGGATTGCGAAAAAAACAATCAATCGGCAAGTTTACAAAGTGAGTTGGAATCGAAGCCTGATTTCCACCAGACTGGCCAATCCAAGACAGGATCAACCGAAATGTGAGGGCTAGTTCCGAATGTCGTGCCTCCCACTGAGCAACATGTGTGTCGACCTCAGGTGTCGTTGAGGTTGTGGAATCCATAATTCGAGGGCCACAGGTCCAGGATCAGACTTCCGAATAAAGAATGATTCTTCAAAGTGCCAAATATAGAGGCTTCAGTAAATAACGGTGCCTAGCTGCCATGCCACCCGAAGGTTGCACGAGGGCTGGGATACTGTCAAGTTGCCCAAGCCTAGACAGGGGAAGTCGAGAGGCAGAGGTCGGGTCCGAACCACGGACCTTCCGGTCAGTAAATTCGCGCTTTAACCACTTGGACCATCTCGCAGTAGGGCTATCGTGTTCGCGTCGAACGGAGTACATAGTACGCCACCAATATTGAGCAACATTCGTAGGAGATGACTAACGGTCAATATGAGAAGATGAAAAGAGATGTGAAGTTACCATCGAGGACTGTGTTGTACTCTAGTCACGCAACCTCTTGTAGTATTTGCCGTTTCGCAGCTATATCAGATGCTAAACGGCGAACAACTGGTTAGAACTAACTTTTGAAAGAAACTGCATGGACAAGACATTCATTTGACATTGAAATGTTTATTCGCATCCACCCATAGCCCGTTTCAGCGAATCTCGCATCAACTTCCACCTGCGTAATAATCCAAGTTAATTCTACCACTTCTTCTTCCCGATCTGAAATTAGGATACTTCAGACAGTGTACGGCTACAACACAACTACACCATGCAACACAGAGCTTTCCATCCTAGTTAATTTGGTGAGTTGAATACCACAACTGGTAACGATTTATGTCAGCTCAATTACAGTTAGTGGCGAACGCCTGTAAGGCTGTCTCTTTTCGGTTGGTTGGACGCCTATACATATGAGCGGGTACCTGTAAGATAGTGTATAGAATTTATGGACTATTAAACCGGAAACCGATAAAGAACAAGTTAACCTTTCAATCTGATTAATGTTAGATAATGATATGCTCAAAGATGGTTGTTCATTAAAGTACCCATACGTTGCTGCCATCGAGACTCATTCTGTCTTATGAGCCAGTTGCAATAAATCTGACGGTCAATCTAACATAAAGTTGCTGTTGGTGCTGAGCTTAGATATTTTCCTCTGCCCAGTCTTTTGTCAGTTTGAACAGGGATTCGGCTTTGTTCTGCCGATAGCCGATTTGCAATCTGTTGTCTGTACGTATCATCGTCGTCTGCTTTGTGCACAGCCTCCCGTCAAGAATGAATTTGAAAAGAATAATGCAAATTCTCATCTCAAGAGGTTAGAGTCCCTACTTTGAGGGTTTATCTGTGCACTCCCTAGTCCGCATGTTGATTACATCTATGCGTCAAGCAGTCAGCCATTCCGTATCGTACCCTGTGACAAGTATGCTGGGAACACCCATCACTTCCTGGACAGATTCAGCCTTTTGGATGTCTGTGTTGTGCCCTCGAATGATTGAGTCAGAATCGGAGAACGAGGATTGCCGAATGATAGGCTTAATTTCTCTCACAATTTCAATACATCAGCTAAAACATTAGGAAACATTTAGTTTGATGAATAGCAAGTAAACAGTTTAACACAACGTGACTATATAACAATCTGGACATCGTCCACATGGCTCAGTGTACCGAAGCCTTCGGAGAAGTAACCACCAAGTGGACTATCAAATTCCATTAAAGGCATGCTTCTGACTAACTGGACCTGGAATACAACGGAGCTATCTACTCCCCATCAATCCCACTAGGGTTATCCTGCTCAATGGTCATCCTTTCTCATCTTCATGATCGTTTTATTCGACTGCAGCCGAGCTTCTAGGCTTTTAGGCCGTTCTAGACTCTAATAACGGTGATTCCTCGTGGACGCTGATTTGAAACGCAATGTGGATATATTCATCTTCTGTACGATCAATGGGATAGTCGTCGAACATGTCTATGAAGCAATGCATTAGTTCCACTGATCCGCAGTCAAATTTGATCGGGTCGGTAACTGGTAACTTCCTGCTCTATGTTTCGGCGATTTCCAGATCGGTTCTTACTTAGCCTTCACCTGGAGGTAAACTTTACCTTATATTAAAAAACATTCAGCTGTAATACAACTTCCGTGCCTAGTTGTTACACCACCCGAAAGAAGCACGAGAGCTGGGATACTACCAGGTCGCCTGAGCCTAGACGGGAGACGCAGAGGTCCGATTCCAGCCACGGACCTTCCAGTCAGTAGATTCGCGCTTGATTGATTTTCCACCCACCAGGCACCTGATATTATGTTTCGTTTTCTGATGATAAGCAGTAAGATTGTTTTATCATGAGCAATAATACCTGGTTGGAGATCTCAAAGTAAAACCATCAATATCATTTTTAGGCTGTCGAGTACGCACAACTCAATGTGTGGTGTTCTTTTGCTCCACGAAAAACACTTAGACAACACCTACAACTCATGATGGTAATTATCCTGTAGGTTTGTCCCGAATGGTGCATCGCTCGTTATTTAAGCTTGAGCCGGACAACAATTGACCAAGACAGAGATTAGATTTACAGAGTGGAAGGTCGTCAGCTCTTTGTCAAACTCTTCTGCGTAAGCTTTGGGGGGAGAATTATCCACGCGGAGGAACGATGACTGCAGTTTTCAACCAAACGATAAATATACAATGGTTAGAAGCGATTTTGGAACTGATAGTCTGCGTTCTACAGCGCCTACTGCACTTGGGCTTACATTTGAAATCCAGGGGACAAAAAGTTTCTTTAGCTTCAGATGACTCCTATCTACGATTGGGTGAAATTCGAGCAGAGTACCTCGATGGTACAATGTGGATCGATGTTGTGGAATCACTCTCTGGATGGTCCAAATAGACCGAGAGCTTGTTGGTATATTCTAACAATGGCAGTTGGTGCGCTTACTGTTTGGAAAAGTTATCCTGCGTAACCGAATGATGTGACAGCATTGTGAACGCCTTGTTCTAGCTGCATTTGTGAAAACCGAACTCGTCACATAATGCTCAGGCATCGCGTGTTTAGCTCACTTTACAAAACGGAAGCCAACATTCGGGAATATTCGATTGTTCACTGGACCTTCTCGCATTCCACATGTTGAGAATATTCTGAACGTTAGGGGACGGAGTTTTTCTGTTGATCTATTCTGTGGAGTCTCACTGTTACCCAAAGTCCTACGCCTAGTCAGTAATCAGTAAATGGTGATCTGACTGACATTCTTCTAGTCCTCAAGGGTACAATTTGGATTCTAACGGACTATTTCTCCCCTAAAAGCAGGCATCCTCTCGATTCTGTGCTGACTTCGAACCAGAGGGTTTGGTTGAGGGCTCCCCTCTAGGTTTAAGTTCCTTGGCAGTATTTCGATCAGCTTACATATTTTAATAATCTCAAGCCACATCGCGTCATGTCATTCGCCCCATACAGAAGCGCGGATAGCCAGAAACATACCACTCCTGATGCCCCTCATTTTAAACTCCTACTTCTGACCGCTCCCCACCCAGACAATCAAATAAACTAGTGTCAGCCGTCCAGGTTCAGCATATCATTAGAGTGAGACCTTCCATATTGTTTTGGATCATTGAAGATAACTCTGTTGTAGGTGTGAGGTAATTCTCAGTCCATTCTGTTGATAACTTAATGAAAAACCCATGACGGCTGCGCAACTCTTTTAAATAGGATTCTGTTCTCGGGGAGTACACTGATTTGCGAATCAATTTGGTTTTCACGAGAGACTCAACTGAATCTCTCGTTTATGATATTCCATAACTGAATGTGCTGCACACAGGCCGCCCGCCCTTCTTGGGGCTTATCAAGTAGGCGCAGTCCCCGAGTTTCCGTCAACCTTATGCTCTACTTGAGCGTAAATTGAACTGTTTTCGAGAAATACACTCATCTGCAAATCAATTTGGTTTTCACGAAAGACTCAACTGAATCTCTCGTTTATGATATTTCTACAACTGCTGTGCTGCACACAGGCCGCCTCATGTTTTAGTTGGCTATCAACCGTGGACGAATTTGTTGGCACTTTGCAGGGCATCATAACCCAAAATGATATTTTCCGTTGACAGAAATGGACTTAAGTTCAGGTTGAAAGCTACTTGTGTTTCCATTCACATATGCTGGCTTCAATAGCACTTCGCCCTTTTTTCATTTCCACTTACACGCTTTCACTTAATACCGTGTCATCGGATTTTCACATATGCGTGTCCTTTCGTGGTCGATAAATATCACCTGATTCACTGCCAGCACTTCCGCCATCGACTTGCAGTGAAATGACCCTTAGTAAAAGTACACTTCCGCGCATGCCCTAAGAAAAGTGAAAGCCAGGAGTGTTTTTGTTAGGCAGTTCGTTGCGCTTCATATCACCATGGGTTTTTCAGGCATTTCAACTGAGTCCGACGAATTTGTCCTCCACAAACATCCGTCAGTTTGAAATCCCTGCCATAAGAAATGTACAAGCTATCTTCTCGACATCATTACCATGTTGTTAGATGTTGCCCTGAACCACTTTAATACGTATTCCGTTGAGCGTGCAATTTCTCCCAAATTCTGGCCCTGCTGACGTGTACGTTTCGTCGCTAGTTTTGCATCCTCGACTGACCTTACGAATGGGCTACCGTTTTCCTGCATCATATCGTTCAGTGAACAATGCTTCCAATCCACCCCCATCAAACCGGTCGTTTCGTTGCTGTGGCACACAGTCAGTTGTTCACCTCCCATGCAACTGCATTACTGCATCCGTTTCGTCCATCTGTGGTAGAGAAAGTGCACACTGGCAGAGCACCCCACGACCGTACTATAGGTGCACAGTCTTGTCATCACAGCATTTAAACAGTTGATTTCACTACATTGTCATCGGCTTTTACCGCAATATCGTGCATGGCCAGGTGAACGCCTTTTCTGATCATCACACACCTCGATTGAGCAGCGGGTACTCTAATACGCAGTTCCAGCGAACTCAGTGATGAGTGGACCATTGCAGACTTACGTGTCGTCCCATCAGAAATACTGTGAAGGTGATCAGAATGGTCTCGTTCAAAAATAGCTGGTTCTGCCTTGCAAATCGGGATTCCACAATTCTAGCAACATAACATTAGCGAGAGAGCTTAGTCCGCTCTCTCTAGTGAGGATCGTTTACGCACCCCATATACCCCGTATGTGTTTCACACATCTTCAACACGTTTGACAAATACAAATAAATAATAAATCGCTCAGCTGTAGCACCCTTTTGGTGTCTAGCTGCCGTGCCACCCAAACGAAGCACGAGGACTCAGATACTGTCAAGTTATCCAAGCCTAAACAGGAGCAGTCGAGGTGCAGAAGTTGGCCCGTTCGAATCACGGGCCCTTCGGTCAGTAAGTTCAAGATAGGCACTGAGCTATCTCGAGCCCATTAAACCGCCTCATTGATCACAGTATCGTCAACTACTTGAAATCTGTGTTACTGCACGGATCCGTATTATGTCGGAAAAGTTTTTTGGAACAAAATTATCCCGTAAATTTTTTTCACAATATGTTCTTTGGGATTCCTTCTGCGCGTTGAACAAATACATCTGCTTTGGTGACAGAACTTCATGTGATGCCTACAAGAACCCATCCTTTTGTGATGTGGTTGCCCACAATGATGAGGCCTACGGTAGACTGTCTAATTGACTTGACTGCTACTCGGAAGCTGATGAGCTGTTGATGGCGTTGAATGTATAGTGCTCGCTTATACTTGTTGTTCTTATTAGTGCACAGGTGGTGATAGCCATAATACAAATCAGGTGTATGCGCACTAACAGAAGTTTTTAGTATGGTGGACAGTGGAGGGTTGCAACGCGTATAAAAATAAATACAATGTGAAATGGGAGCAAGTCAAAAAGGGAACTTATCGGATGTGGGAGTCCCTTGGTGAAAGTCCGGACGGCGGTAACGTGTTTTCTCCGCAGTTTGGCTGCTACACGTGTCCCATGATTGTCCGTGGACTTGGAGTGCTTGGGCTGACTGCTTGCTCCCTGCCCGCGCGCGAGTCTGTGTGTCCTGACTGGGTTCGGTTTCCCTTTATGTAGGTCCCAGTGCGTATACGTGGGCGCGTCGGCACATGAGTGGTTGCTACGCTCACTAGACGGTGCAGACAGTCGATGTCCGATGAGTCAGCTTAATGCGACGTGTTTGTGCGTATGAGAAAAAAGACAAGCCTCGCGATCCAGTGAGCGACTGAGTTGAATAGTCAAGTATATGGGTGACTGGGTCGCTACATCCTACATAAACCACGTCAATATAGGATTAATTTTCGGATAATGGTGCACAATAACCGTAAGTGTGCATATTGTTCGTTAACAGTGAAGAACTCGAACGTGAGCAAGACTTTCCAGGACTTGAGACTCCTTTACATTGGCCAGTTTCGTATCGTTCACTCGTCCGTGTTGTCTCGATTGTAGACGTTCACTATGGATTACCAGGTTGCTACATCGAGGAGGAGCACAACACTTATAAGGTTGCTGGATAAACATCGACCGCCCACGACCAGTTTAGCCCTTTTTGGGGCTAAACAGGTAGATCAGTCTCCGAGTTTCCTTCAACCTTGTGTTCTAATTGAACTCGAATTGGACGCAATTTGAGGGCTACTCTCGTTTGAACACTAATTTGGCTTTAACGGAAGACTCATTTGAATCTCCAACTAAACTTGCTGCACAAAGACCGCCTCATGTCTCAGTTCGTACGGTATTCGACAGTCAGTTAGTCAGCTGGACAGGTCATAGAGGAGAGCTAGTTAGTTCAGTGAGCAATCATTCCGGCAGAATCTGATCGCGCAGAGGCAGGCGAGATGGGTAGAAAATCGACCAGGCATAACACACGCACACAGAATCACAACTGAAAGATAGGACAGTGTGGCGTGAATCTTCCGGTATCAGGTCTGGTGTATCTGTTTCGTAAGCTTATCGCGTGGATCCTGAGCATCTAGGGTGCGAATTAGCTCAACGCTATGTGCGACAACATGGGAAAGCACCTGAAAACTTAAAAAAAAATGAAGGCCGATTCCCACACTCTGAGATGATACTGTCTACGGAATAACTTGGTGGGATCCAAGTAAGCTAGTACTATGTGCTTGTTTTGCTGTGTCAGTGATCCTGGATAACGCATAAGCTGACACGTTCCCACTGTAAAACTAAAAAAAAGTGATGGGATGTGAGCTACACAGAGGTGCTTCATGTACTATCGGCTGACATTTCCAAACCAAACCTTAGCCAACTCTAGATAGCCTGTTAGTCATGAACTTTACTTATAATCCAGTAAAGTGTCAACTCATGCCTCTAACTGTTTTCATTTTAAATTCTTTCTAAACAAAAGTCATCCTCATCAACAACAAGAACATGACATCAGTATTCCACGCTGATGCTTCGCTGTCGTGCAACCCTGATATATTTGAAAACCTTATTATAAAGAAAAGAATAAAGGTCGACAGGGAAAGGTCTAAGCGCTAGCTTACTACAATCATTCCGAGGTGCCTACACCTCCAGACACTCATTCAGGCAAGAACGCCACTGACATAAATTAGCAGCTTTATCTTGCAACGTTTCCATCCAGGCGCAGTGGGGAAGGTGAGTCACACCGACACCAAAGACTTTTCGTAATTTCTGTCATACCGGTCTAGTGGCTCGAGGGTTGGTTATCTCTGTGCTTCCACCACTCTGAATTGGGCGCGGAAAGCAGCATTCTCAGCAAACGATGGTTCGGCCTGCGCACTACTTGGTCTGACCAAAGTAACTTCTGGGGTAGAATTGTACAGCAGTGCTCGTTGTTCCGTAAAACTCTTCTTTTAGTAATGGACATCCGTCTCCGTCGAAGAGGAAGGAACGAATCGTACAGTGACCGACGCCAAAATTATCTTGGAGCCTCACCATTGTTTGTCTCACTTCCGGTCGTATTGTCCAACGCATACTTGATCCTGACTGTCAGTATCACGTTACCGCACTCCACTTGGGAAGATGGAAATGGTGGTTCGACTGTCATCATCGAGGAAGCCATAAAAAAGACAGATGTGGCAAGCTGATAGTTACATATCAAATTTGCTCGTACATTAGCATGTTCTAATTGTGACACAGTAGCTGATCCGGTGGATTACTGCTTTATCCGCTCTACTTTTTCCTGTGTGTTCTACCACGCCTGGCAGATACCTTCTATTCCCCAATTTGTTCACTCCACATTTTGCTTTAGAAAATGTCGAATTAAACAAAATTTGCGTAGGTGTTGATCGATTCGTCTCCTCATCATTTAACCAGTTTTATCCGGCATCCCGGATACAGCGGATTCTTCTTTTGACACCCCGTAGATATGAAGGTGCGGAGTAATCTGTTCAGAGTTCTGCAAGCATTTTGTGTGTATTTAGAAGATCACAATGAAAAAATCTGTCATAGGTATTTGGCACCTTCTGACTCTCTCTTGATCATGTTCATGATTGCTTCCCCAATATGATTTTTCTACAGACAGACTAAATATTTTGAGAATCCAAACCGCCCAGGGCTAATTTGCCTTTCCTTGCTTTTTGATGTTTTGAACCAAAATCGCAAGTCATCTCTCGGCTGTCATGGCAACAGCAACGATGGCCAATCGATATCTAATGTTGGACTGGCAACCGATCTATCTATTGTAGCTTGTGGTTTGAACGACTACACAACACCGCATCGGTGTGCTCGAAGAATGCCTCAAGTTGTTCCCCGTTCCTCATGAGTCACAGTGCACTCGCCTTCCAACTACGATGTTTGGTTGATTGTACTTAAAACCTTAAAGTAGGCTTGGAAGGGAATCGATGCTAGTCTGCCTCAAACTTCCTGAGGTGCTCATACCTGGTCAGACAATCTGGAATGAAACTGACAGGACGAACGTCACTGACATCGATTAGCCAATTGTTTTGCTTGGTTTTCGGTTTACTCCATCTAGAGTATGAAATTATGTTTGGTTCCACAGTGTCGGTCGACAACGCACAAGTTTCATCCTGATCCGAGGCCGTTCAAGCGTAAGGGGTATCGGTCAATTGACGCAGCTCATGCTGCAAAACCATCTGCGCATCTGGTGGATTCGGTTTGTTGTGTTTCGACAACCCACTGGAAAATGTAAAACTTAGTTTGATAATTATGAAAAGTTGGTGTACTTACGAACAGTTTGGAATGCAGAGATCGAATTTGGCATTCGTTCACACCCGGGACTTTGTCAGTAGGCTGAATGGTGCTTCTCCCAATTGTTTAAAGAGTTTTTGTTAAATAACCTCGAATTTAGTTCACCGGTTCGCTAACCGAGGACTGTGGTCAGTTACCATTTCCCTTTCTCTGGAAGAGTTGATCTTTGTTCCAAGATTTCTCCACGTTTTTCATCGTTAATTGAAACCAACATCCCTTGGATACAAACATGCTTCAGATCAGACCAGACCAGGCAAGTTGACCTTGTTTGGCAAGTCAAAACATCCATCGATCGGTTCCTGTGGTAGACAACAACAACAACAACCTCCACTTCCGTGCATTTAAGTTTTATTGACGGCTTACGCGACCGGGTAACGTTGTTTTGGACGCAGATCACGTCTTGATGCACGCACATACTTCACATCCAGACCACCTTGCCACTGGGTTCTGCTTTTTGTTTTACCTTGCAGCACCATAGTCATGAGATATTTGCTCGCAAGCTTGTTTGCCACAATGACTGGTGAACAGGAAATGCTGCTTCGAAAAGCACCCATTTAACCTCTGGTTTGTAGATAGATGGTTCCAGGTTGTGTGATTCAAGTACACTTGTCGTCTTTACCCTTTATTCTCTTCACCGATTATACCACTTATGAGCTTCGCGCACTTACCTAGTTACATTTGGGGGTTTTGTATAGCTGGTGAAGCAATCGAATTATCCAGACCTTTGAGAGTTACTGAGGAGAAACATTCGCAAGTACTCAGCCAGTATTTTCGTTCCAACAAGCTCTGATTGTCCTGTACTTTTTGTTGAGAGAGGTAGAATCACCCAGAAATATACTTATATTGACTGTTTTCATTACTCTGAGGGGCTCATATGTGTAGTATTTGAACTTGGCAAAATTACTTTGTCAGACTATTGCCAGTCTTTGCTTCCTATCTTCATCCTCGACAACAACATTGATGCTTGGCCCGTACAAACATGATTTATTTGAAGGCTTTGTTGTTAAGAGAAAGTTATGAGGGAAAGGGGCGTATTGCTAGCCTACCAAAATCATTCCGAAGTGCCCACACTTCATTCAGACAATCGGGTTAGAAACTGATAACAACAATGGCATTGACATCTATTAGCAGCCGTATCTCGCAGCGTCTCCGAAGGGCTTCTGGCTTTGTCTAGAGTGAATGTGCCTGATTTGTGACTCGGAGATACAAGTGTAGCGTTGCTCGTTTGTACAGACGAATAATTTTGGTGTTACCTAGGTACCAACGCATTTCTGGAATGTACTCCAATATGGCGACGAAAACGATCTTATGTAATGGGAACTCCATAATTATTCAGTTACCATGCGTTGCTTCCTCTCTTATTCCAGCTTCAATCGATATTGTAACTGTGCCGTTGCTTGATGCTGTGAGTGTACTCCAGGCTAAATCACCAGTCAAGTCTAGTCGAGTCAAATACAATTTGAGAGGATACGAAGAGTTTGACAGTTTAACTGGTGCATCTAGACCAATCCCGTAGGACCCCTCCGTTCGAATATCTTCTCTCGTATCGGGTTCGTGGGGGGGGGGGCAGAAGGTTTTGATTCTAGTGTTTCCTTCCCTCTGTGGGGAATGCGATTGCAGAGCTATCATATTACTGGAATTGTTATCGGAATTATATTTTCTGGGGCTTGGATCGGATCATCACAAACGAGATATTCAGCTGGATTCGGTTGAGTCTTGTGTCAAAACCAAACTCGTGTGCATATGAGAGTATTGGTCGATACATGAGTCACTAACTTCTTCGGATATTTTCCAGCTCCCACTAGGGTTTTGACTGCGTCGCACAAGTATTCTCACCTTGGGTTTTAATTTTTCCGCCCCTTCTGAAACACCACTTCACCTATCCATTCAAACGAATGGGAATGGTATGACTTTCCGGAAGACAGAACGGCCATCAACTTATATCATTCAATTTCAGCTGGTTTCGCTCGAGTGTGCAAAAAATAACCTGCATCTGAGATGCGAAAATTCGCGGTCGATCAACACCACCCAACGGTTGCTCAGTGTCTGCGTTCCCACACTCACATCATCCTTAATTCAACCTATCAATTTTCTAATTGGTAGGTCACGTGCTGATTGGCCAAATTCAGCGCGACCCAGTTTTTGGACATTGAGGCACGGTATCGGTTGTGTATTGTTCTGTGGATGGTAGGGCCACGCCAAAAAGACCATGATCTCTTGCACTTTTGGGCACTCGCGCAATTTGTATAATAGACCGACTTGGTCTCTCATCGATTTCACTGTTCCATCGATAGAATGAACTTTGTCGCACTTTCCAAAATAAACGCTTTTTGTGGCTAGTCTTCTTCGCTAGTGATGAGCGACTATCCGACTTCAAAGTACGCCAACGCCTGAACATTGTTATGCCTCTTTGAGGTGGCCTTCTCAATCCGTAATTCATCTACAGTGCAGGTGAATCAACTACACGATATATTCTGGTTGCAGAGTTGAGAGGTTTGGGACGATTTTCGCGTCGTATTGTTTACTGCTCAGTCATTTTTCGAATACATACTTCAGTGGTTTCTTATTTCGATCCGTATTATTTACAGCTCTCTCCTGTTCCGGCACCCCATCATTTGGAAACGGCTTGTTAGAATGACCAACTTTCAAATGAGGTTGCCATCAACTAAAGTTGGATTAAACTTTCCAAATTGTATTGTACTCCAAAGCACCTGTTTGTTTTATCTCACTCTAGGAACCATGGAGCGAGTTTGCCTCATCCAAGGGACCTTGGATGGTGTCACTCGAATGCATAATTATATAATGGATCGGATGTTGGAGAAACCGGAATGTGCTGGAGCGACGGGTGGACAGACTCTACCAGGATCTACATCACTTGCTTGTCCTGTTCGACCGACCACTGGTGGTGCGGTAATTCCAACGACTGTCGGTACCCCGTCAACTATTTCTACAACCGGTCAAGCTGATTTCGGAGCAAGTGGAGCCTGGCCTACGGTTGGCGGCAGCCGTTTGCCATGGGGACGTCACCAGCAGGTGGGGAATTATATGCCTGTATGTCTTCGACGCTTAGCCTTGATTCTGACTGATCTCGGGGTTGCGGAATATGCTGTGCGTAACCGACAACTCTCTTTACTATTTGACCATTCTCCCAAGCACCCGTCCTCATGAAACTGCATCGAGTTTCGTTGTAGTTTAGGGTGTCGCTCTATTAAGGAGTGCCGGATTGATTGGCCAAATTGCAGCTTTCAGTCGCATCCCGTCTCAGTGTCAGCAGCTTTCTTTTTGCGCTTCTCAGTGCGCACCAATCATACGTAAAGTTGGCAGATCCTCATCATTCTCACTGCAGTTGCAACCACCGATTGACCATCTCATTCAAGTGGGACCTGGCCTACGGAATAACCTAATCGTTGACTCTAAAAGCAATCTTTCAAATACCCCAGCGTCCTCCTTATGCCCAGATTTCCACAGGATAGTAAACAGCTATTATGTCACTGTGTACCCCTCGGCATCAAATGCCACACTTCAGACCGAACGCCTCCGGTACTGGAGTTGAATTATTTTTTATTTACTCGGGGTTTACACTCCCGACTGCTCTTCCTCTTTCGTTGTGAATAGCAGCACAACTATTGGACGCTATTCTTGGCACCCATCCATCACTACTACCAAATTATGCGCCCCTGGTTGAATCTAGGTGGTTTGTGATTCGACAGTGTCTCAGCTTGTTGAGTAATAGAAAATTCTCATCATTATTCTTGGTACAATGAGGTCTATTGATTAGGTGGCATTCGAAACCGGTCTACCCGCGAACAGTGCTTGATCAACTGAGCAGGAGTTAAACTACGGGGGATGCTACATGCCGGTGGTGACCCGGAAGAACAAAATCAATCGATTAACCCTCGGAGATCTCTTGAGAGCCACCGACCGGCCTGAGAATGATGGCTTAAATATGAGCTGGCACAGTTAGTCAACTCCTCTACGCTTGAGTGATATACCCCGTCACTGGTGAGAATAGATAGCCAGATTGTAGACCAGTAGTAGGGTTGTCATCTCGTGGTATTACAGTAACGTCCTTCAGGTGTCTTTAAGAATGTGAGGAACGTACCTAGACGACTCGACTCTACCTTCGTGATCGATTAGCCCGATTCTATTCTGGAAAATACGTCCAGAGGTAGCGCAAATTCCTTCGACCGCTGTTTGTATGTCGTGCTTGTTCCGAATTATGCGCTTATGTTCGAGCGTTACAGTGCACTGTGCTTTGAAGCTCATCCGGCTATCGGTTCGCCAGGTTGCTCTGTCAAATGTCGGATTTTCCCAAGATCCAAACCCAAGGTTTCATGTTTTCGGACTTATTTGAAGACTGTCGCAATAGTGGCGTTTTTGCTCATCCTTAAGCCCTGGCTGAATTCTTCAGTGTTTCAAAGTGTACTGTTATCCGGTGTTTGTTTTACGTGGCGTAACCAGCTTAGCTGGTTGTGCATTAGGATGGTCTTTCGTTGATCTCGCCTCTTTCGAGAGTTTTGGTGCTCGAGATTCTCGTTTTATTGTTTTTCCTTTTATTTTGATCTTTTATTTGTCTTGTGATTTATTTTGTTTACTTCTCATTATTAACGGTATTAGTATTGGGAGCCTCGTCAAATAACTGGCTGGTCCGTTTACGAATTGCCTATGGTTAGCTTGCATTTTACTGTCAATATAGAGAAATCAAGTAAACTACAGACTACACTACTTAAATGTATCATATCTGCCGTTTTATCGGGAGCAGACACATGTGGATAGATCAGGGAATTTTATTTTAAATATCAAGTGCATCATGACCGTTTTTGTATCAGAAGATGCAGATTACAGCGTGATACTCAGCATGTGTTCTGAATGAAAAACAACTCATGGTTGCGACACCCCTCCGATTCATGAACGACGTGTTTTTTCTAAGTTCTGACGGTGTAGCCCAGACTCGAACAATCGTAAATTTAGGGTTGGATGTCATTTACTTCCTGCTTCAGCCTATGGATTATTTCTGACTGTTAGGATATATTTCAACTGCACCAAGCCAACTCATCTAGTCCTAGAAACCCGCTAACTGCTCAGCATAGCTGTTCCACACTGGCTTTCCAACCACTGTCCATATGCATTCCACGAATCCTGATACGTCCTAAGAGCTTTTGCGAGTTGTCCAGATTCACACACACACACACACACTCGAGCAAAGAGCATTGTTACCGTCATGAAAAGGCTGATAACGTCCATCGCTCTTTATTATGGATTAGTTATCAAATAATGAATAAGATCATTCCGTTAATTGTTTCCAGAACGGATGGATATGTATGGCGTTGTTTTGGCTGTTCACAAAAAGAAACATTTCTGTTTGCGGTAAAAGTTCTGGATGATGATAGGTCACCTCAGAAATGACACATGCGAGAGTTGTTAGATCTTGGTTCGATCGGCTCTGGCAACTTTTGGGGCGTGAAACCTGAGTGAATCAGGAAGGTCTGCCTCTGAAACCGAAAGTTGGGAGCGGAATCATACTGTGACCTCTGGGCTATCTTGGTGAGTCACAGAGGCCTGTCACTGTGATTAATGGCTCTCGAAATAAGTGCTGCAGGTTCACTATCATCCTAACTAGTTCTCAGTTATCACAGAAATCTGCCACATTTGGGGATTGTCTTATCTGCTGATTCGCCGACCTGTGATATATGCTGCTAACCCGCTCCAGAGCCTAGTGCCGGAGAAAAAAGACTCACAGAAGGGCACACAACCGCTATATTCCGAACAAGCGAGCGAGTGCGCGTGCAAAAGTTACAACGGCCCCACGCTATTTAAAGGGGACTTTCTGACATTGATCCAGGCTGTCCGAAAGGCGTTAGTGAACACCCATCAACGTCGATCGTGCTTCAGTGAAACGCTCGAACGCTGATCACATTCGGTCGTGCTTCTGTGGCGTGCATGAACACTCATCAGGTTTTGCCGAATTGATTGAATGATTGACGACCTGGATGCTTGCCGGCTTTCCTATTGAGATTTTGGTGGAGCAGTAGGTTCCGGGCGTTCTGGGGTTACTTTCAGGAATCTGACCTTCCTGATAGGGATATTCTGTTTTCAGCTCATTGTAAACCGAAAAAACATCTTTGCGATCAATATAGCTTATTTTAAAATGAAAAGATAGTAATGAGGATGCCTTTCTATCTACGAAGATACATTTCTGCAAAAAAACAGACCTAACTGTAAATTTTACGGTGGTTGACAAATCTTTCAGTCAAAGAGTCTTTTGTTCCCTTCGATGGGACTTCGACTGTGTACTGAGTTGTAGTCAATTTCTGGAAAGTTCAGTTGCACGAGGATTTTAATTATCTGCAGCACTCATTAAGTGAACATTGGTAGGCCCGGTGACAGGAAGTTTTGGAAAGTGGGTACAAGTAGGTCGCACGTCCGCCGACCTGCGATGTCCTCTGTTGGTTTGATACGAACTGTGTGACTGACTCATGAATATTCAACTTTACAATCCATGTTATTGTTTTGGATCGTCACACAGGATCTGACAGTTCTCCATACCATTCGACGATAAGTCGTTGTCTCAACAGATAATGGGGACTATAACTTTTGGACCATAGATAGCAGTTTTGTAAACAAACAGTGTGTGCCCCATATTTTTATGGATGAGTGCTATTCATCCTTGTTGTTGCAATCACAGTGGTAAAGGGTAGTCTCTCTCCCCCATGCATCTTGTGACTTTCGATTTTTCTGCTTTACTAATCGCACCTTGCTTGGTATCTTGGTTGGTCTCTTCGTCAGTCTACGCTTCGTTTTCTCTTCTACCGAGTTTGACTTCTACACAGATTTTTATCAGTTTGCAGACCCCATATGGTTCCATTATCAGCTGTTAGCTACTATTTTACGTATACACCTGAAGGAGCTTTATTCAGCTCCAAAACTATCCCAGACCGCTGCCCCGCCATGCAGCACGATCGGCAGCTTTATCAGTTTTTTTCCACTGTTTAATCGCGTAAGCCACCTGCAGGTGAACCAGTTCAATATCAGTCTTAACTGTAACCGCCAGACTTTCAACTGTCCTCTGCCGTTGCGACACTCTGAGCAGAGCATTAGTAACAGAAGGATTTTGGACAGTTCGAAGTCGGTTTTGCAAAGGATTTTAGACCTTCACGGAGCATCTTTTCGATCGCACTCGGACAACCAGAACGCGATTGTGCTTTGGCCCGGTAGGACGCAACGCTAGCAGAGTATGGTGTTGATCAACATACGACGATGACAGTAACGGGAACAGGGTAGACGGAAACAGGCATTACCGCCGAAAGGTCCATGATCCTATAGCTATATGGGACTGTTTGAAACAGTCTCTGGTTGGCAGAACGAGGTTTGTAACAGTCAATCAGCCATTCAAAGTCAGGGAAATCGACCACCTGTTAGGCTAGCTACCAGTTGTCTATTCACTGGATGAACTAAATGACAAGTGAAGTAACAATCAAACTAAAACTGTTATCTTGAGAGGAATTGTACATGTCAAGAACTGGACTTATGGGGATTTGTGAACTTTGAGTCAGCTGTATGAACTCCGTTTATATTCTAGTATGTTTTATTAGTTTGGATCGGTCGTGTGTGATATATTGTTCCCGTACAAGGTTTGTGAGTGGATTGGGAGAGTGAAATTTTGTGGTGTCGACCAAGATGGTATTATGTTGTTTTGGTCGTTCAGTAAGACGACAGTGCCACATTTGTTTGGTTTCAAAACACTGAAATCCTTGACCGTTAGTCCGTCCGCAAAGCTAGGTAACTTGACTGGAACCGTTTCATCACCGATCAAGGTGACCTCATCAGTCCAGTGGTGAGGCGGTGCGGTACAATGGCCCGGAGGGTGTGTTGGGCGGAAGTGTGCGTTTTTTATATAACCAGGATTGAGCTACAATCCTGATGGGTTGCGTGGCTCAGCGCTTTTGCGCTGTGTTCTGACTGGTCAATATTTACGTAACCTTTTACCTTTGTTTGGCTTTCATCCACTAGTCAACACCCTCCATCCATCATTTCCTTGGGCCTTCACTTACCACGCTGACTTGATTCCTGACGGTTTCCTTCTTCCTAGTTTTCTTATTTCCGTTGTTGAGTAGTTTTTCCATTGCATAAAGAGACGCCTTGACTGTGTCCAGTTCAGCATTTCGGCT